ATTGCTTCGGCCCTCCTATCAATGCATCTCGGTCGGGCGCAAGAATCACGCAACATTTAGAATGTCTTCTTTCCCTTCTCACCCCCCCACCACGGTGTGTACGGAGGGACGATAGATCAAGGAAAGGTTATCCTTTCCTTGATCTATCGTCTTGGCAAGCATACCCTTGAATAAAATTAAAATACGAATCGTTTTCCGCGCAACCATCCCCCCGGCTTGAAGGGTCCTCTTCAAATAACAAAAACAACTAACTCTAAGATTAAACTAACAAAATAACTAACGCTAAGATTAAACCTAAATTTAGACTAAAGTTTCTAATCTAGAAAGCTATTGAACTATTGAAGGGGCAAAGGGCACAAACGGACAACAGGACGCATGTAAGACCCAGTCGTGGTCCTAACGCGAGCTACCCTAGTTACCCCGTCGGAACCGGGAAAAACTTCTTCGACAATCCCTAATGGCCAATGGAGAGGCGGCGTATTCTCCTTGGTGAGCACAACCACAATTCCGACAGTTAAAGGTTCAGTTGCGGTGTTCCATTTTTGCCGAGACTGCAACATATGCAAGTATTCCATACTCCATCGTTTTCAAAACGACTGCACCAACCGGTCCAATAATTTATGGCGTACGGAAATACTAAGTTTGTTCTCGTCCATGTCTATGGCGGGCAGATAATTCAAAGGCGTTAAATTCAAAAAATGTTACGATCTAATCTTTGATTATACAGACGGGTATATAATCAAAGGATCTAATTTACTATATGAGCCGGCAAGGGTAGGAGCATGAGCTGCTATGGGAAAAAGACGACAAATGAGAACAGCTCAAGACGAAAGAAGGGAAAATGAACTTACTTGGACGTTGATCTTCTGATCGACTTCCACTTTACATCAAAATTACAAATCGTGAACACCGGTCCCTATGCCATGTCAATAAAAATATATAATAACATTCCAGAACAAATCAGAAGCATTAAAAGCATTAAAAAATTTAAAAAGGAAGTTAATACAAGTATTTAACGAAAAAAATGTTATTACTCGTTGCAGGAGTTTTTTAGTGATTGAGTAGGAAATAGGAAATTGAAACAAATAAATAATATAATATGATCCAATTTATTTTTAAGTTAATTGTAAATATTCATTAAATGATAATTTTATAATACTATAATGTGAATGTAATAATAATATTAATAATTTAATAAATAATTGCCTATATTTGCAGTGCCCTTGCAGGATTCTTCTTTAGAACATTTTTTTTAAATATAATACCAAATGTACAATAAGAATAGCAAATAAATTGATTTGAATTGAATTGAATTGACTGACGCACATCGTGGGGCACGGCAGTGCCCCCTCCAAGTCGAGCGCGAAACAAACACTGCCGTACCATCCTTTACTGGAACCATTTCGCCGCATTTTCAGGCCCCTATTTGAGAACCTCTGGATAATACCAGAACGCAGAAATTTTCGTCATCCAGTAAACTATAATCACATACTTAAAATCCAAAATTTCAAGTCTGTAGGTCATTTAGTTCCGAAGTTAAGTGAAAGCAAAGTTTCGCATTTATGACACTCACTCACTCACTCATGATCATCAGAATAGAACTAGTACTTCCCATAAACTCAGAGAGCTGAAATTTGGTACAGAGTTAGGGTTTAATGGCCACATAAAGGGAAAACTATAAAAACTAGGATAATCGAACATCTGGAGTACCTGGTGACCCTGATTAGAAAACTCAAGAGCCTAACCAAACTATTAGAAGAGATCGACATACCGCCTTTACAAAAAATATTCAACTTGGTGGGCCGCTTCATTTGATGTCAAAAATTGAAGGTCTAAAGTATCTGATGAAGAACCCTCAGCTGGTCTCAGCTGTATTAGAGATATGGTAATGCCCCCTTCTACCATTTGTACATAAAAATCTACTGTCATTGCAAAAATCCAGCGTAGTGGGACACATCTAATTTAATCTAGCCTATAGCGTCCCACTGCTGGGCGAATGCCTCCCCTTCTGCATTTAATACGCATATAAATAAAATTAAAGGAAAACTCTGGATAACACTAGATTGGCTTTTATACTTACACATACAAGTTTACAAGAAAAAAATAGTCGAACGATTAATTTTATTCTACTCGAACATTACTCAAATTCCTTTAAGATACCGTGGACATGAATTCATGTCCACGTTTTGTGACCGTTGAGTACCGCGGACATGAATTCATGTCCGCATTACGTGCTGCTATTTTCGTCATTAATTGATATAAAAATACAGTATATTTTCAATTGAACACTATTTCATTCGATTCTGAACGAACTAAAGAGTATTCTGAAGAATTATATTCACTCGGTTACATAGACAAAATCAAATATATTAATATAACAGCCATTCGCTTTTGTGGTGTTGGTGCTGTTAGTTGCGTAATCGTTGAAGTTTTGTGATTGTGATTTTAGTTGGATTTTCTTTCAAAAAACTGTAAGTAATGTTATTTATCTTTACTACGTAATGTTTTTGAATGATCTAAGTTACAACAACAGTAACTTTTTATGTTTCAATTGATAAAAAAGTAGAATCAAAAATCTCTACGCGAACAATTCATAACGGTCAAGATTTATTTATACGAATAAGATAATAATAGTATATTTTTTATTCGAATACCATAGTAAATACTTTTACTAGGAATTGCTAAATGTTATATCTATATGATTGTATAAGAAAGATAAAGGAAGACGCTATAATATATACACAAAAAGGTTTTGAAAATGAGGTTACAAAGCGCACGCAAACTGTCTATTGTCGAATTTTTAGCAAATGTTTGCAAGTGAAAAAGTAGAATTATTATAATTACTACATGCATAATTTCGGTTCATTTAGGAAGAATATGTTGTATTGATTGTAAGGACATAAAAATAAAATAAAAACTTATGATATTTCATTCATAAAATAAAATTTGTTGTCAGTAAGTACACTTTATCAAGATCCGTTAGAAACAAAGAGCTGTACAAAATAAAATAAACATTTAAATGTTATGGTTATTGTTTCTACTTATCGAAAATCTTATCGGCTTTAGATAACTGTAACAAAAACCTCTTTAAACATAAGTGAGAAACATAAATGTTTATAACAAGTGCCGCCAGGAGGTGACAAAGCTGTTTTTGTTACGGCGGGCACAGTAAGAGAAAGGTTAAATAAACAAATTACACTAAAATATTAATTTCGCTCAAAATTTGGTCAAAATATAATGCATTGGACTAAGAGTGGCGGTGATACCCGCACACGTCGTATTTTAAAACGCGCTTACGTTTTGTTTTTGCCATAACCTAATAGTAAGTACGTACTTTTCTAGTATTCTAGGTATAGTTTATTTAGTTAGATATTACTTCGTTTCGTTTAAAAATATCATTAATTTAGCTGTATTTTAGTTCTAGGTAGAGGTAATACCTTTGGTAGAAAGTTCATTGATAATTAATTATATTGACACTTGTCTAATAATTAAGAGTTAACGTTTTGTTTATAGTTTGTATAGATTGAGTAGACTGAGTGATATTTTCTTTGAGTTTTTTTTATTAAGACAAAAGAAGTCTTAAAGATACATATACATACACATAAACACTCACGCCTGTCACCCAGAGGGGTAGGCAGAGACTACAGACTTCCATTTGGCACGATCCTGACACACCTCTCTCGCCTCCTTCACATCCATACACCTCCGCATACATGCTCGTCGGTTAAGGGTACTCCTAATTTGGCCCGTTTTCAATAAATCGCCAATTTGGTCGATAAATTTTCGCCTAGGACGTCTCTTTCCGACTCTGCCATTCACTTCTGCAACATAAATTTTCTTTGTCACTCTTTCCTCATTCATTCTTTCCACATGACCAAACCACCGAAGCATTCCTTTCTTAATCCTGGTCACAACATCATCTTGCAGACCACACTCTTCTCTTATTACACAATTTCTTACCCTGTCGTTCAGATTCAGCCCTAACATACCCCTAACGACCGAATTTTTACTGCGTTGATTCTAATCTCGTGCTTCTTCTGCCACACCCAACTTTCACTACCATACGTTAAAATGGGAACCAACACAGCATTGTGAATTGCCATACGTGCCTTTTTTGACACATTTTGACTCTTCACAATAGAGTGCAGGGCCCCATTTACTCTATTTCCCGCATTCACTCGTCGTTATATATCCTTATCATATCTCCCATCTCTGCTAAATACGCAGCCCAAATATACAAACTAATCTACTTGCTCGATCAACTCCCCTTCTATTCTTATTTCACAAATCGTTTTACTTTCTTCTCTTTCAAAAACCATAACCTTCGTCTTATTTGCGTTCACTTTCATACCCCTTTCTTTTAATGATCTGTTCATTAATGTAACCATCATTTGCAACTCGGCCACCGACGACGCAAGGATAACTTGATCATCGGCGTACAAAAGGCATTTGACGGTTAACTCACCCATTCTTAATCCGCATTCCTTAACTTTCAAATTTTGCAAACAACTGTCCATAAACTAAACCTTTCTTTACGTTTTGCCATACATTCTCCAAGTCTAACTCCTTCATACATAATTCATCCAAACCACTTATATTTTCTTTCAGTCTACATTTGAACTTGTTTTTTTTACCTTCATCTTGTAACTTTTCTGTTCTAATACGCTGTAACGCAGTGGTAGACACAGATGATCGATGGCGCTAACGCCTGAATAGACCATTAATTCGGCATAAAACCAAATAATGATCCGTTCCTACGTTAGAACCCCGGTAAACCCTTGTATCTACCACTGCGCCCCTCAATCTTTCATCCACAATTACGAAATCTATCATGCTTCTATCGTCACCTCTTTCCCAAGTATACATATGTGAAATGTCTTAAAGATATAGGTTATTATTGTTTTAGTCTAAATATTATCGGTATTTCTGATTTGTTGTCCATATACTAAAGGTCGTTGAGTTTATTTGTGTTTGATTTCGCAAGATAATATCGTAAAAAAATGTCGATAATATTAAGAGACGACGATGAACTTAGTGGCTACCAAGTAGTTGGTATGCCCAAAGACGGGTCTTGTCTCTTCCATTCAATATCTTTCTTGGTGTATGGTAGAACTGACTCAACTTGCAGTATCAGATCTGCTATAGTTGCATACGTTGCTGAACATTGGGACGAAATGCAAGTGTACACGTGTGATACTGATGGTGACGTATACACGAGCGCGCAATCCTACAGGAGCGATATGATGAAACCCACTACTTACGGCTCAGCTTCTGAGCTTATGGCTGCTGGAAAAATCTATCCTTTCATTTTTGAAGTGTATGAGAAAGGTATACCAAGAGGTTCCTTTGGCGATGCTGGCCAAAAAAAGTATTTACGTTTTACCGGTAGTTACTTAAGCGGCCACTACGATGTACTCATTCCTATACGAGATGCCTCTCCATCTTCTTCCCCCTTTGATCCCATAAAATTAAATTCTGTAACATCAGATACTGCTATATGTACATTATATGACTTAAACTCTACGCAAAGTGAATTGAACATGAAGCATAAGGAAAAAGGCGGTAGACCGACTAAAACTAAAAAAGGAAGACCTAAGGTATCCGCACTGTCATGATCTGAACAACTTCGAGAAGCTGCGGCTCATTACCGACAAAAACACCCTGAAAAACGTCGAGAAACCGTAGAACTTTATAATTCTTTACATCCAGGCGCCAACCGGGCATCTGTAGCACAGTACAGTGCTTCACACCCTGAAGTAAACCGGGCAGCTGTAGCACGCTACAGTGCTTCACATCCGGAAGTCAATCAGGCTGCTGTATCTCGCTACCGTGCTTTACATCCGGAAGTCAATCAGGCCGCAGTATCTCGCTACCGTGCTTCACATCCGGAAGTAAATAGACAAAACTTAGCGCGAAAGAGATCTACTGACAAACTAAAGTTTAAGGGAAACATAGAAACAATCACTAGAGTTCTTACAACTAAACTTAAAGATACATTAGAATCAGAAAAAATAGTTAAGTGGACTCTCCATAATAGGCAAAGAACTTTAGAATATTTGAACAAGACTGCAAATAAATTAAAAGAAAAAATAGTAGCGGCATTAGAGAAGTTGAAAATATGTCCTGAAAGCACGGATATTAAAGACAAATTTGAAGCATTTTTTAGTAAATCCGAACATCGCAGTAATCAGGAGCCATTTTATTCTGAACAATCTTATAAGGTTTATGAAGATAAAGAAAAATCTGTTGAGATTGACGATACTGGCAAAGCAAAAACCTTTACAAATGTTAAGAAAATGTCCAAAAGTCTGAAATGATCTTGTTCGGATTCATTGTGCGTATTAAATGATGGAATCTTACTAAAATTGAAAAACATTTTCGAAGTATTGAGCCTCCAAACTACTCCGCAAATTTACTCGATGTCAGTAGAAACAGGAAAACTGCAAGAAAATATCAAATTTATTAATAACGTTAAATCGCATTTCCCACATCTTCGGACTATTATCAGAGAGATTTATCAAATACACAGCGACTGTAAGTTATTGCTTGATATTAACGATTCTTTGGCAAGTGGTAATGTGGATAAGCTTATGGAGCTAGGAAAGCAACCGACGGTAGGAAGTGCCATTGTAGAGCGTACACCTGATAGTGAAATCGTGGAAGATGAAATAATAAAAAGTAATAAGGTTGCTTTTAAATTATTTGCCAAAAAAAAGTGCAGACACACCGAAACTGGATTGTATGTCGTGCAATAAACTATGTTATTCTAGGGATATTAGTTCCATAGAACGATTAAGAAAGCCCATATCAACAGATGTTTGGAATCAGCTCATGAACTACTATAATTCTAGCCTAATAACTCACAGTCCGTACATATGCCACACATGCCTTGCTAAGATTCGTGCTAACCAAATGCCTGCTGTCTGTATCCTCAATGACACGCGGATACAGACAGCAGGCAAAGACAAGCACTGTTCCACCAGAAATAGCTCAGCTGAACGACTATGAAAACTTTTTAATCCAACGCGCTAAAGCGTTTCAGGTGGTTGTCACAATGAATCCTGTGGCTAATAAACGTCTACCCAATCGTCAGATGGTTAAAAAAGTAAAGGGCAGGACTTTTCATTTACCACTTCCGATGGAAGAAACCCTAAAAAAACTCCCAAAACCTGAAGACGCAATAATTGAAAACCCAGAACTTTATATTATAGTCTGAAGTACGCCAAACAAAGTAAATATTATATGGCAAGACATTGTTGACGTTAATAAAGTGTACAAAGCATTACAATACTTAAAAAATGTAAACGAACATTATGCTTATATCAAATTAACAGATTTACCTAATCAGCTCATAAACATACATGAAATTATTCAATATAATGTTACAAATACACCAGATAATGCTGAAGGGCATTTTAGAAGATGGTACAGCAGCACTGTTGACCCAAACCACAAGAGAAAAGGAAACTGATTATGAGCATTACACCATATATCCTTTGAATGAACGGAGACAAAATGCACCAGCTTTAGAACTCTACCAAATGCTCAAAGTAAACACCGATTGATGCCCGAGATAAAGACCTCGATGTTAAATGTTTTCCACATTTATATGTAGAAGGAAAATACGGCCAATTTCATAATCGGCAGCAGAAAGTAACTTCTAGTGAATTTATTAAAGCCCGGCTTATGTCAAAACATCCTCAATTTAGACTTAACCAACAGTATCTATTTTTCTTATTGAATGATGCTAATATGCGCCAATTAAACTCCGGAATCTTTTATAAAATGAATTGTGCTAATCAGAGAGATAAAATTACGGCAGAACAGTATCTCCAAATGCTTAAAAATGATGAGCTGGAAGGTGATTTGACCGCAATATTTGGCCGACTGAGAAACACCGAACAGTTCTGGAAGAAACCAAGAAACGATGTAAATTGTATGACTCAAAATTACGGTCCAGCAACTTGGTTTCTGACCATGAGTCCCTCTGAGTGGATGTGGGAGGATTTGGGAGAGTACATCAGGCAAGTAAATGGCGTTGAAATGGCTAATAAAACAGTCAGTGAATTGCTTGCTCTTGACCACGTATCTACCTCACGTTTTATAGATAACAAGTTTCAAGCAATGTTAGACTTAATAACTAGTTCAGATGAGCCTTTAGGCAAGATTATTCATTACTTTTGGCATCGAGAGTACCAATCTAGGGGTGCTCAGTACTTCCATTTAATGTTATGGGTTAAGGATGCATCTATTCTACATAAGTCATCTATAGATGAGGTAGCGTCATTTATTTCTAAATACGTGACATGTGCCATTCCAAAAAAAGATATTTCTCCTACTTTACATCAACGGGTCGCTTCGTATCAAATGCATAAATATAACAGTTATTGCATGAGGAGAAAGAAAACGAAAAAAGGATTCGTTTCAGTTTGCTGTTTTGAATTTCCTCGAACTGTGACGGATTCTCTTATCATAATCAAACTATAGCGGTAAGAAAAACTCTCAGCTCTAATAATCGTCTCTACAATATTGTCCGCTCAAAGGAGTCAGATATGATTAATGACTACAATCCCGCTTTGCTGTTGGCGTTGAATGGAAATATTGACATTCAATATGTTGGAGAAAAAACAGCCATTTTGAACTATTATGTGACCAAGTATACTACTAAAAGTGAAAAGACCAATGCAACGGACATGTTTAACGATATTAACTCTACAAAAAGTCTTAGAAGCCGGTTATATAATATTGGTCTCAGAGTATTATCGAATCGAGAATGCGGAGCTTTAGAAGCCAGCGATACATTATTGGGAATACCACTTTACGGCACGGACCCACAAACAACAATAAGATGGTTAGACGTAAACATTCATCGTAATCGCAGGGTTAAATCGAAATCTGAAATGACTGCACTGGACCCGAATTCCACTGACATATATTACGATTCTTGGATAGACAACGTTTACCCTGCCAGACCTGACTAGTTACAAGACATGAATCTATTTGACTTTTCGAAAGACTATGATTTAGTTAATATACGGCCTGTTTCAAATAAAGTAGAGTATTATGTTTTAGCAAATAAAAAATACTCAAAAAACGAGATAGACCATACCTAATTAACCATTACCTGTATGATGTAGAGCAAATGCCAGAAAAATATTTCTTTTCCTTGTTGTTATTATTTAAACCTTGGAGAATACTAGATGACCTAAAAATGCAACATGAGACATACACAGAAACATTCAATGCTGTAAAGGACGATTTACAAGAAGCGTTTCGCTACGGAAATTTACGGACTGAATTACGAAATATTTTACAAACAAATTTTGAAAAGGTAGAAGAAAAAGTAGCAGAACTAAACGAAGAAAGGGAAAACATAGTAGATGAGGGACCCGACAATCCTTTAGAGTTTGAAGCTTTGGAAGCGGTAAATGCTATGGAAGATTTAAACAACTTTGATTTAGTTGAAGCGGATATTTCTGAAATGTATGAGCAAGCAATGATAGGTAAACTGAATTCTGACCAAAAAAAGTATTTGATACAGTCACTAATAAAATTAGGGACCAAAAGAAATATTGCGACATTTTGTTAGTGGCACCGGTGGCACCGGCAAGAGCTATTTAATAAAAACCACAAAAATATGGATTAAAAACAACCTGCATAAAAATGTTGCTATTACTGCCCCGACTGGAATTGCAGCATTTAACGTAAACGGATTAACTGTTCACAGATTACTACAACTACCCGTAGAGCATAAACAAACTCCTAAATACAAACCGCTTTCAGACGAAGTACTTCAAGTTTTAAGGACAGACTTAAAAAATGTCGAATTATTTGTTATAGATGAAGTGCCTATGATATCTAATGTAACTTTAGCCTACATAAATCTTCGTATATGCGAAGTGTTTGATACTTCTGATGTAGAAGATGGTTGGTTTGGAAAAAAACATATTTTAGTGCTTGGGGATCTTTTGCAACTTCCACCCGTTAGAGAAAAGTCGCCATTTGAAAAACTAACCCCTTCAGAAATTAAGTTCTCCAAACTCCTTAAGTATTCCAAACTTATGGGCTGAACTTTTTAGTTACGACGAACTGAATTAACGTTGAATATGAGACAGCTGGATGATTCTACGTTTGTAGAAATGTTAAAAAGAATCAGAGTAGGAGTGACAACTCAATCAGACAGAGATATACTGTCTAACCGATTGGTACCTCTGCTCTCACATTCCAATGAAGGAAGGTTAATGGAAATAGCACAATGTTTAAGGGACTTACCAGAATATACTGTTTGTTTACTACCGACTAGAAATATGTGTATGCAGTTAAATAATGCTATGTTAAAAGCGATTCCGCACCCCGAGATAAAGTTAGTTGCTAAAGATTCCTTGGATTGTTCAAAATGTATGATAACGAAAGCCCGGGCGTGTTTACAAAAAATATGAAGATGATGCGTCGATGACTGCTGGACTGGAAGAAACTATAATCATTAAAGAGGGAGCTAAAGTAACGCTTAGGAGAAATATTGATGTTATTTTAGGTTTAGTGAATGGGTCATTAGGCGTTGTACAAAAAGTGAGGTTGGACCCGGAAGACCAAACAAAGCCTAAACAATTGGTAGTAAAATTCGCTAATAATTTGATTCACGAATTATTGCCTATTAAGTCAAAATTTGAGATCATACCCCGGGCATACGTGTACAGGGAACAATTCCCAATCTGTGTGGCGTATGCCCTAACAATTCACAAGAGCCAAGGTCTAAGTCTAAAAAATGCCCTCATGGACATTGGCACCTCCATATTCACTTGTGGCCAAGCCTACGTGGCGCTTTCACGAGTAACCAATCTTCATGGGATGCACCTCATAAACGTTGACTTAAAGAGTATAAAAGCTCAAGCTTCAGCGATCACCGAATACAACCGGCTTAGGCGTAAATACCGCGCCGATCTTTCAGATTTTAAACCGTTTAAACCGTCTAAAAGAATAAATAATGAACGCGAATGGGCAATACGAAAAACTGTTGCTACTGTACAAGAATCAGAACCGGAAAAAAGAAAAGAAAGATTTGTAATAATAAAAAAACTACTCCTAAAAAGAAAAAAAAATGTGTCGAATAAGAAAATCTAATAAAATAAATTAGAAAGGTTACGGAAACGGTAACGGTAACGGACGTCTAACATTATACGTTTGTCTCAATATCCCCCATGTTTGCCATACTTGCCACGCTTGGTAGCGGGTTGGCAATCGCGGCTTTTTATTTTTAGTCCTTATTAGAAAGACGCTGCTGCCCGTCTCCTGATTTGTTTCCCGCTGCCGCCTCTTACGACACCCACGGGATGATATGGGGTAGTGGATATTATTACACCCCCACTGCAAAGATGCTTAAACGTCCAACCATTAGATGTTATGTTGATTGAATAAAAAATTATACATTCTTATTAAAATGTAATAACAGAATATGAAATAATAATAAGATGGCGTATAACCTGCGTCGTGTTTTGGGTATGTATTTTGCAGAGCATTTCCTGAACTTGGTCCAGCCGTTGCGTAAGGGGAACGCGGACCCCAATGTGAAATAAAATTGTATGTAGAAAAATAATTTAAACATTTTAATTTAAGAATTTTGAGTTTTTCAAAAGAAGTAAATGCTAAAAACGAGTACGCAGTCAACTTATGGTAGATGAATGCAGTGACCTATAGACATCTACATTTATTCTCGATTAATATGAAAATGCTGATGCGTTGTCATTTCGCAGGGCTAAGATGATATACCTCGCTACCAGCAAACAGGTTCTTTGGTTCTCGTCACTCGCCATTCGGAACTGAGCAACTATGCTGCTTTTAAATGCTGGTGGTATGTGTGAGTGTGATCCCTGCCGGTCGAGACGACCATTATATGCTGTAACTTCAGACTAAAAAAGAAAGATGAACATAATACCTCGACACGCACTTACGCACTCATCTTTTTTCTGGCTTTATCGGCTCGTAAGTCCACTGCTGGATGCATACATATGCACCCAAAACATGTTGGTTGCAAATGACCTTAGATTTGTGAGCGATATATTTGCATATATATTTAGATTCTTAATCAATGATATTATATTCAAGTGCTTATGTATCACAACATCTACTAAATATGGTAAACAGGTTAAACTGTGTGCTCGTACATCATCCTACTCCTATATATAATACGTATCGAATTTTGTGTAGTGATGGCGGCTAAGAAGAGTTCACCTATCGTTTCGAGTCGTAGAAATCTTAAAACTTTAGCGAACACTATGCTTACGTTCTTACCTTTTTCAGTCATTAATCTCCACTGTTCTGCACCTTCCCATTTGTCACAGTTCCACCATTGTAAAAGTACTAGATGTCTCGTACCTTTGATTTTGATGTCCATCGTCGGTGTGTTTATGCCCGGATTGCACGATGCGAGTTGAGTGCGTGCTACTGCAACCAATTAAGTGTAGTTTTGGCGCCATCATGAAGTGCTCGGTCTAAATATTTCTTCCTTGGACTGAGGCTGTGACCAAAATACGCTGCAAAGTGGCTCTGTCATGCAAAAGTGACTAAACTAAGTAATTACGATTTTTATTTCTGTACGTATATTACCAAGCAAGTCGTTTACTTTTTATACATTAATGATGTCAAATATATTGATGCTAATAACGCCGTCAATACACAAATATCTTCATCATTAAACTGCAGCACGACGTGGTAGAGTCATGCTGCAGTTATATTAGTAGTATAGTTGTAGCACGAATGGGTCGGCTCGACCGGGGAAGGACCACGCTCTCACAGAATACCAGCGTGAAATAGTAGCTTAATGCTGCTGTATTTCGTATGGTGAGTGTAGAGAACCGGAGACCCTTTTTACTGAAAATGAGGCATTCCATCTCAGTCCTCATGGGTGACAACGCATCTGCATTTTGATTTGTAATGGAAGATAGATGTAGATGTCTATGGGCCGCAGCAACCACTTACCATCAGGTGGACTGTGTGCTCGTTTGTCAGCCTATTCTATAAAAAAAAAAAATCATTATTGACAACTTGGTTGAGTAGATGGAATTTATATTTCAAATAATAGAACTATATATCACCATTGGCGTAGCGAGACAGGCAATATAAAAATGTTACCAGCCTATAAAAGTTTTAAACAGCTTCTTTAAATAATTTTGAGTTATTATCAGTAAGATACCGCTGCTCATATCCTATTTAAATTCCCCTCTGTGGCTTCTTAGGACACCAACGGGACGATATAGGGTAGTGTATATTTTTAAGTTACGGCCACACCACCTTATCGTCTACCGCCTTTTTACCGCAATAATCATGGCGTCAAATTACTGCTTAAATTACCGCATGAAGTAGTGTGGTTACAATGAGGTTTAATTAGACATTATGAACGAACTAGGCGAAAAAATGATATTTAATATAAAATGATATTTTTCGAGATAGGGATTAAAACTGTAGCGGGGTTGTACTTTATGAGTGTCAGTTACTATTACATGAATCTTTTACATTTTAACAAAGCTAAACCAAGACTTAAAGGAAGATGGTGGATAATAAAAATGCACAGAAAGCGTAAGTAATAGGTTATGCTTTTTCCGTTGAGTTCACGTGGCACATTGAACATACAATGGCCACTTGCCGCAAAAATTACCGCGGTTGTAGTCTTTTATATGTGAAAAGACCGCCACGGCAGCTAGTGAATACCGTCATAAACCATATTAATTGACATTGTAAAATTATGGCCATAGATCGTGGCTACACCTAGTTGTGGCAATGATTACCATATTACGGTGGTGTGGTCGTAGCAATACACCACCATGACACAGTTACATACACACCGAGCATATGTACATAAGCAAAGAAGATATGACGGGTACAAAGTGCAAACAACTACATAAATTAAAACGTTGTAGTCAAGCGCTGGCTTAGTATAATATCTATTATTATATATAGTATTATATCTATGTTTTAATATTTGCATAATTACAATAATACATATACATACAATATATAGATGAATATATGCATACGAGTATATACACATCAAAAAAATTTGCTATCAGTTTGAAAATCATTATTTTTTGTTACGGTAGATAAATGTATAATTACTTCTTCTTTTTAGATTCTTTACTTAAAATATAGAAAGCTTAGGGAAGCTCCAAAGCTCACGCTCATACAGAAATCTGCCTTAGTCAATTTTAACGGATTTGAAATATTTTTCCAAGGAATGTTGGGATTGAAAAAATGCCAATTATCAGAAGTTTTACGAGCAATCATTGTCACTTTCAGGGAAGAAGTATATTCCACGAGAGAAATAGCACGTACAGTTGCTGTATCCCAATCATGTGTCGTGGCCACGTTGCAGAGATACCACGGCATGGATAATTTAGCTGACCAACAGTGCAGTGATCCCCAACTATTCTCACTGCTGCTCAGACGCGTTATATCAGAGTGCTGGCAGCCCGTGACCCAACAATCAACGTCACTACAATAAAAGCAGTAGTGCGGGACTTGAAGTTAGCACTCAGACTATTCGGAGTTGCTTACACCAAGTTGGACTACGGGCACGGAGGTCTTAGCGAGTACCTCTGAATTCGCGGCAACATCATCGATGGAGATTGCAGTGGTCTAGGCTCCGGCAAAATTAAGAAGATGAAGAAGTAAACATTATTTTTCTGTTACATATGTTTTCTGTTACTACACGCACATTAGGCTTCAATTACACAAGTTTTGTTATTAAAAAATAAAAAGGAGTTAAATTTATTTTAATTCCAAACAGTGTTTTTCTATTTAAAAAATAACGTAAACACTTTTTCTAGATAAAATTAAATTGTAAAAATATATCAGCTTTTGCTAGTGATCACAATATTTTTTGATGTGTATACACACATAAATATAGCAATTTATAATTCAAACGCGTATATAAATTGTAAATATAAACAGTAAAAGGAAAAAATAGGGATTAGAATTAAAACGGAAAAACCACAAACCACTCCGGTAAAACGATTCTAGAGCGTACATTGCTTGGTAACTTGTTCCAGAGTTTAACTGCATGGGGAGTAAAAAAATT